GACTGTTGGCACAGCTGACATACCTGAGAGATCTGAATGGACAGAAGAGAGTCAAGTGTTCACTTCCAAAAAGCTCACTGAAGAATGCTAATTCAGGTGTGTGACACGCTTTAGATAGAGTGAAAGGCTTCTAGCTTTTGTATCTATTATTTACAACAGGTAAAAAAAAATCGTCATGGATACAGGAAGAATCTATACCTCTTGTAATGCAGTAGCCTTGTGGCCTGTGACGAGTCGACACATGATGATGTGCTCCAGTAAAATGACTTGAAATGTGGAGAGGATGGGGCTGCAGTCCAACACTAAAACAGAGAGATACAAATAATCATACACAAATAAAGTGTCAATACTCAACATTATATAATTAGTCATAGTTATTACAGAAACAAGGAACTCACTCTTCAGTTTCTCTAGCTGCATCAGAGCCTTGTCTGTGTACTTCTGGGCTTTTTCCAAATAACCTGCTTGCATCGAGTGCATCACTGTGACCTGGGAGGTGACAAGACAGAGAACACGTTGAACAATTTGAATCAAGACCCTAAATAAACACATGACAAAGAAAAAAATAAATAAAAATGAGTGCCATGGCAACTAAATCACTGCAACAAGGGCATTAGTGTCAAGTCTAGTAGCCTACATTTGTAGTCCAAGCTGTATTGACCAATCATGTATCAGCAGGCTCTGCTGTGTACTGGAGAACCACTCCGTGTGGACAGCACAAACAAGGCGGAACATTATCCAAGTTAATGACTCAGGTACCACCATCAGTAATCTATCAGTGATGTATTGATCGCTATTAACAGATATCTGGATATAGGTGCAGCTAACAATAAATTATAGATCAAACATTTAAACTTGAGCCACAAATCTGCTTGACGCTGTGTTGTTAAGGTAGTGATTAGAATTCCAGACACATCAGACGTGATCGATCCGACTGACACTCAACAAACAAGCAATTCAATGTTGCCTTCTCCTCTTGAGGACAGTCCTGACAAAGCTTGCATGTTTACTTTTTGAAAACCTGCATCATAACGTTGTAATTTTGGCAAACTTAATTCCTGTTAATTTCAAGTAAATCCTGAGCACCTTTTTTTTTTTTTTTTTGCTCATACGGCTGAAGTGAGTGGTTGGGAAGCCACCATGTAACTTGCCTTCAAGCATTAATAGGCACGATCACACGCGCAACCTAGAATGAAAATGATATAACAGTCTCAAAAAACCTTACCTGTTGTTTTAGTGGCTTTAAGGATTTGAAAAAAAGAAAAATTCTAACCCCCAACTTTGAGAAGCTCCAATAACTGCAGTGGACACTGGCACACATTATCCTGAGGTAATGACATTTTCTTTTGTAATCAGAGGCACATTTAAAGTTTTTGTTTTATTGTAGCCATGGCCTACATCACTTATCAAATATATATTATATTTGCTAAGTTGTCAGATGGTGAATTTGGAAAGTTAAGGAAGTCTTTATTGAATTCACAATCAGAATCCAAATACCGTCTTTGGCCCAAACATTTGATTCTTTGTGGCCGACTGGTTCATGGCCTAAAAAACATTTGCACCTATCGCTGAAATGCCAAACAATGTTATTGAAAATGTTTAATTAAACTACTATAAAATGATTTCCATTAACAGTTACAAGACAGAGAAGTGTTTTCTGAAAACTAGACTGAAATGCATCAAAGATGTACAGCGCGTACTCGACAACACAAAAACGAAAACCACCGACAATAACTAAAAACAAGAACAACGGCTGTGTTAAGCTTTTGTATTTGAAGTTAGCATTCAGATGTGTAATTCTCTGATGCTCTTACTTATTTCACAACAGAGCAACAAACACATTCAGAGGGAGATCATCAGCAGAGGTTCGAGTTTGATAATTGCATTGTTTACTTTTTGTTTTTCCACTTCATACAGCAGTAACATTACGCACAGTGGGGCACAACCTTAAGTAATAACAGCACAAGTGTCAATTTTTTTTATCATAGCTTTTAGGGACTTAAATATTGCAAGGAAAAAGAAGTGGCATTACCAAATAGACGAGGACACACATGTGCTCCTTGGGAAGCCAGTGGAAGAGGTCAGCTGGGTTGCTTGGCAGAATCTCATCATCATGGAGTGTAGAAATGGTCTGGATGCACTGCTGCAGCTGCTTCAGACAGGGCTTCACACTCTTTACCTGGGGACACATGGGCATGACAAAACATCTGATTCAAGATCCAAGTAGTTTGACACAACCAGACCTTAAAATGGGTTTATCATTTCTAACTCGAATTACTGCATGGAATCATTGTTGGCATACACGCTGATCAACAAGTTCCCTGTGAGTTCACAAGCAGTGTCACTGAAACCCCTACCTGTCCAGCATCCAGGTAGTGTGTGACCTGTAGAACCAGGAAGAAGACCCTGAGGGACTCCTTCTGGATGGGATTTCCCTGCCAGTTTTCAACAATAGTTCCGCACAGTGTGAGCAGAGGATGTACCTCCCCAAGCTTCCTCTCCATTAACAACAACTAGAAGAAAAAAAAAAACACCATGACCTTACACACTCGGTAGAATCCAATGCTGTTTACCATCATTGTTGTTGCTGATGTTCAAAACAACCACTATTACTGATGTATAGGTATTAGGCTTTTAAGTTATTGTTTTACACAAAATCATGCAAGAGGAGCATCGCAAGGTGTACTTACCATTCCTTTACTCAAGAGAAACAATGCCCTAAAAGCAAAAAGGAGAAAATGTCAAGTAAGCTTTAATCAAGTTCTCCAAATCAATCATTTTATTTATTACCACATTTGTATGCATTTTACTTTAGAAACAGATGGACAACAGATAGCACTAATATATACAACCTGCAATAAGTACATTGTGTTTTTATTTTTATTTTGTAGAGGATCATTGAGAATGAGGTGTCACAACAAAGTACAGTCACTGACCTGAGATTTTTTGCACCCTAAAAAGTAATAATGTTTATCAGTGCAAATTGAGGGTGTCACATGTCAACAGCTTTCTAATATGCAGTCAACAGAGGATTGAATGACATTCCCTCACCTGGTATATTCTGACCCAACCACTCTGGCGTACTCAGCTCCAACACCCAGCAGGTCACATGCTGACACCAAGTCTTTCTCCAGAGTATGAAGTTGCTAAAAGAGACAGTAAGTCAAACTTAAAACACTGAGAACAACCAACTGTTGGACATGCATTTTTTTTTTAAAAAGAGTCTTGAGTGAATGTCACCACTGAAGGGACATATTAACAAAAACAGCACTTCTACATACAGCCAACTGGAACAACAGCCTGCAGTGCCAGTAAGGTGTTTGTTGTGATATCTGGATAGCCTTCCGCAGTAAGGGTTTTGCAGAGTCCACCAAATTCTGCAAAAATTAATGAAAATAAATATTAAACACCAATGTGCACACTTCAATGAGAAACACATCTTTCCCCATTGTGAATGAATGGAAGAAGCTAACTTGGTATAATTTCAATCTCACGTTAATTACTTCAAATTAAATGAAAAATGTGCTTACCTGTTGGCAGAAGAGTTCTGACAAAATGCTGGCGGCTTCAAATTTGACATCTTCAAACTGAGGGACTTGTTGAGATATAAGCCACTGGAAATAAAACAAACAAAATAGATATCGTAAGTGTAAGCTTTTTTTTTTTTTTTTAATGAATCAATTAATCTCAACAGCGGTACCGCGTTATTTAGCAAACTAAAGAAAAAATGAAATCAGATTACTCGGGACAACACCAAAGAATACGAGGAGAAAAAAACGTATCGGGAACATTTTAACATATCCAACCTTCCTCGATAAAAAGCTATTTAAAAGATCCCCTTCCTTCACTTGTTTCATAGCTAGAGGCCTACACTTTTCCCCCTGTCCGCTGCATCCCCGCTCTTTCCTAGATCAAACGTCCCTCACCGCTTTCTCCAAGTGGTTACGTGCCAGCTCGCTGTTCTTGGTGTGGTGGTAGAGAACCGAGCCCAGCTGAAGGTGTGTCCGGGCTTCAATCCGCTGTGGAGGTTTAAACTGAAACACTGCCTGTAAACAATGCACACACAATCGGATTTTGGGCGGACTAGAGGTTCGAAAATGCTCCGCAAAGCCGAGAAGGGCGAGGTACCAGCGTTCCGGGGCCTCTACGTTTGACGCCATTTTCCACGACAACAACAAGTTTTTCAGCGCTACAGCCAGATTGCCGGGTTGCCAGGTTTGGTTCATGTAGTACAAACGACCAAAAAGCATGCAAAACTCAGAGTGAATCTCTTCTGTATGCTTGTATCTGTTTAGTAAACATTAAATGATAAAAGAATGATAATTGTTGAAAGGTTTTTTTTTTAAGTTTACTTGAGTAAGAATATTTCACAAAAGCACATCTCTTAAAAAAACTAGATTATTTTTAATAGAAGAAAAAAAATCATAGAAATACATTTTTCGTCAGGGGTTCAAGTTTGTTGATTGTTTCTCGAATTTTGGGCTGTAAACTTTGTCATAATATTTTTGTTTTTTAACTGTCAGTTTTCGATTGTTTTTTTTTTTTCCACTTCTCTCAGTTTAGTGTAAGGTTTAAGATGCAAAATGCACAGTAACATAATGCATGCTGACTTGCAGTTTACTATTTGGAGACCCATTGGTCACCACCTTCATTAACACCAAGCTATATCTGAAGGGTAAATAAAAGGTCAGTCATTCATAAGTTCAAATGTACTAAACATCCTCTATCAGTTGAACATTTTAGATAATAATTGATGTTACATGGATATAAACTTTATGTTAGGCTACTTGAATCGTGGTTGTTGTTAGTAGCTGTTTAATCAAAATGTTCCCTCTACATGAACAGCTATTAATTATTGAACACAGTGTGAATAATTGTGTTGTGATGGTTGTGATCAAGTAAACCTGGCAACCAAATGTTGTGCTTATTCTCGCGAGATTCAATCCAAAGCGACGACACTTTAAATATGGGTGTTGTAGTCCAAAATACTGGCATATCCTGTCCTAGTTTTTTTTTTTAAGACCTTGAAAAGCCCAAATAATCTTGTGCGCAGAACAAGGCAGTCGCAGAAGTTCCTCGCTGGCGTCGTCTATAAATAGTCAAGTCTCTGCTGTAGCTTGACACCTGTCTTTTACAATCACCTTCAGAAACGTAAACAACATCTGACGCGACGTGCAGAGACCTCACAGATAGTTCCTAAGATCGACTGGCCAGCCTCCAGCGTGCAAACAAGGATTGTGTGCAAGAATCTTCTGGACAGACTTGAGGACCAGTAAACACTGGGTCGTTTAAACCACAGACGCAGGTAACGAAAAAGCAGAAATCATTATTTTAGAGGTTAAATTTAACGATGCAACTACGATGCATTGGCCTGTGTATGAATACTTTGTGTGACTGTGATTTGCAGATTATGCTATTTATTTTAGGTGTGGTCAATAAGTTATTATCTGCACCCATGAGAAAAAAAAAAAACAGATTGACAATTTATCAGTTTTTGATCAGAGTTTTTTGGGGTTATTTCTTGTAAGAAAACAATCTATGGGCTAAACAGCAGATTTTTTTGTATTGCAACACACTGTTTACAATCGAGGCAGTTTTTCTAGTTCATTGACGTGCATGTAATCAAATACAATGAAGATAGCCAAGCAATGCGTCACGGCGGTCGTCTTTTGTTTGTTTGTTAAATTAAGAGTGATTATGTTCTTTTCCCAGTTCCTCTGCAGTGTGTATTCTTGAATGAGTGACCGAGTGTCCGGCAGTCTTTGGTAATCTGTGAAGGGCACACATGGCCCACACTTTGAGCGACCATCAGAACCCTCTGCCTGTGGCCCAGGCCACTGTGCTGGCTCTGCCACCCACAAGCCAGACACAAGTGAGTAGGCCTATTATTCTTCAGAATGGTTCACATGTTCTGCTTTTTGTATTAAGATTGCACATTAAGTACATTACTTTTGACCATGCATGATCTTAAGTCAGAAATCTGAGCAAATCTGTGCATGGATGTGCCTTCCTATTTGTTTTAAGTGTTAAACCTTTCAGTAGACTTCACTTTTATAGAACAGAAATTACTTTTAAAGTCAGTGATTGTGAAACTGTCACCTTTCCCGACCATTGCATTTTTTCAATGTTATGGGTCTGTTGTTGTGACATGCAGCTTGTGTTGTCCTGGTACTATGCACTTACTTTTGAAGGGCATGTTCTACCTTTACATTGCTGTAAATAGCAGGGAGTTGGCAGCTAATCTCAAGCTGGTCTTAGTTTAACAAGTAATAATTGAGTTGAGCGTATTGAAAAGGAGACTCATGACTGGTGTTCACTACAGGGTTTGTAAGTGTTGTCAACAAGATTTAGAATATTAACAATTTATTCATTTTTAAATACTTTCAGACAGTACTAGGGTGCACATTGTAACAACAAAATTGGCTGCAGTTGACTGAATAAATCTAAATGGTGTAGGCAGATGTGTGTATCAATAAAAAAAATTAAACAGCCTAATTCTTTTCTGATTAAGAGGAAATCCAAACATGTGTCATCCCTGCCCTAGTTTAAGTTGTGAAACATGTGATTCATGCCAAGTGCTCTACTTATCAGTAGATAGGATTGTTGATTGGGTTCAACTTTGTCTTCCAACTTGCTCGTGCTTGTGTGGATGCCCGAGACACACACACACACACACACACACACACACACACACACACACACACACACACACACACACACACACAGGTCTTCTCCTGTCAGTTGAGTTGTCTCTTGTATTTTTGTTATACCACTTGAGTTGGTGAAAGTCCACGTGCAGACTTTGTAGTTCTGTCGCAGTCTCTTTTCACAGAGATAAACGTGGGAGTGAATGTGCTGATAAGCATGTGCCATTTGGGTTACATATTTAGAAGGTCACATCACAAGAGAAACCTTGTTAAACTTCATTTAGCCACACTTTAAAAATGTACAACGTGTAGATAGTGTGGGTCAGTTAGTGTTTTGGCTTAGCTATCAGTCTATATCAGAGGTATTGGACAAAGTATCCAGTAATGTGCATGTGTCTGTGTGTCCCAACAGGACTTGAGAACAAGATGGACTGCCCTGGACTCCCTGCTGTGTGGGGCTTTTGCTGGGGCTGTAGCCAAAACTGTCATCGCACCTCTGGATCGCACCAAGATCATATTCCAAGGCAAGGAAACTCCACAGTGAAAATAGTGCTCCCCAAATATAGAATTGGAAGGCAGAAAATAGAGTACTGTGTTATGTTACTGACTTATCCTGTTCTGGGTATTACAATCCTCAGAAAATGCAACTACTGTTCTTGTGTTGGTACCAGCGTTTTCCCTGAATGTTGTAACTGTTAAGTAATTGTTAATCCTCTTAGTGAATGTTTAGCCTATCAGGGAGAATGTGTTGTTTAACCCTGAGGTGTTCACTGTGTTTTTCTTTTTGTTACCACAGTGTCTTCAAACAGATTCTCCGCTAAGGTGGGTTCAGATTTCTCTATCTCAGTCGCTGGTATATTCCAGATTCACCTAAATTAGTTTGAGTAAACTGGCAGCATTATTAGAATTGAAAGTCAGAAAGTATTACTGCTTACAATAGATCATTGACCATTTTGATGTGTGATGTTTTCACGACAAAAACAGTGGTTACAACTTCCTGTATTGATATTTCTCCCTTGAGAAAACATGCAAAACAGAGAAAAAAAGTAATTACACTTATTATTTCAATTTTGATAAAGATTTAGAATATTTGCCCTTTTGACATTTTATATGCATGTAAATTATTGATTTAGAAAACAAATCATCAATAGCAAAACAACCTTAGAGCATTTTTTTTATGACCTACTTTCAAAGCCAACAGTCACTTTGGAAAACTCCTTCAGTCGTTTATCTTTAGTATATTAAAATAGACAATTTGATGGCACAAAGACAATGTGAGGTGCATTAATCTCCTCCCTAACACAACATATCATCTATCCTCAGGAGGCCTTCCGGCTCATCTACTGCACTTACATGAAGGATGGGCTGCTCGGTCTGTGGAGGGGGAACTCTGCCACCATGGTGAGGGTGATGCCCTACGCTGCCATCCAGTTCTGCTCACATGAACAGTACAAAAAGCACCTGGGGGGCTACTACGGCTACCAGGGAAAGTGAGTAGACATTTTGTTTTTCAGTCATTAGTAGAATAATATATATTATTTTGTAAGATATATTTAACAGTTTTTTTGAAGTCATAGTTGTATCGTTGTTATAAGGATGATAATGTATGTTGCTTGTTCGTCTGTTATGTTGCTCTAGTCTGCAATACACAAACAATATTGGCTTTTTATTACCATGAGAACTTGTTGTTGTTCTAAAATTTGGTGTGGATATTAACGCCCTCTAGAGGTTGCATTGAAATAACTTCTGATCCCTTTGGCTCTAGCAACATCTTCTGGTCAAAATTGATATTTCTTCAATATTTGTGCTGTGCATGCTGCCGTTTTCATTGTTAGAGCATGTAGCATAAGGGCGCACTCACACTAGCAAAGTTGTCCCGTTCACGTTCTAAAGCATAATTGTCCCCCCCTCCCCATTCCCCCGCTGGCCTTAACTCACGCTGCTCCAGGGCTAACCAGGCCTGAGCACGGTTACCTCATGTACAAAACGTTGTAATACAACACACTCAAGAACCGCTGTGCCAGAGCCACAGAATCTAGCTTCTAGAAGTTATGAAACATAGCGCTGTTTGTGTTATTGTTTTTTATTTTTATTTTTTTTTAATTTGCAGAGCTCTGCCTCCTGTCCCTCGCCTGCTGGCAGGCTCTCTGGCCGGCACCACTGCTGCTATGCTGACCTTACCCTTTGGATATGGTGCGAGCCAGGATGGCAGTCACAGCCAAAGAAATGTATGCACCTATGCTGGATTTCTCACATTCCATTACACCTAAGACAGTTTGTTAAAAATATTTTTCTTAATACTTTTGCGTGTATTATTGATGTTTCATAAGAAAAAAAAAATGAAGCATTGCAGTTCATTGCAGTTACCGACTGTAACAACTAATAGTAAGTGATTTGGAACAGTTATAAACAGGTAAATAATGTCTCGCCTGGGGTTTTTTTTTTTTGCGGACAGGTACAGCAACATCATGCACGTCTTTGTGCGGATATCCCAGGAGGAAGGTGTGAGGACCCTTTACAGAGGCTTCACTCCCACTATTCTGGGTGTCATCCCATATGCAGGCATCACTTTCTTCACATATGAGACCCTCAAGAAGCTTCACACAGGTACTGACCTTTGCCGCTTGACTTATTTGTAATGGATACACGTCTACTGCATGGTGTTGCTATCCATATTGTGCTGTCTTGTTGTGAAAAGGTGGACATTTATTTTGAAATACAAATATTTTATGACATCACATGACCAGCAAATCCTTTGCACCTCCTTTGCTCATGGACTTGTGACACCCAAACGTTCCTGATCTGGAGACTCCCTACATTGTGTAATTATTCAATATTTAGGACAAAAATAGAAATACCATCTGTGATATGATTTAAAAGTTTTTATATTTTAAACCAGTTTAAATGTGACAAGAAAAAGAAAAATCATTTTGATTAATATTTAGTCATTTCATATCAGACATTTTTGAAGTGTAACATATCAACTGGACAAACAGAGAGAGAGAGAGAGGTTAGCTCATCCACCAGAGGAAAGGCATAAAGTTCAGTCAGAGGGCGGAATGTGATGTACATTAGTTTTATAAAAAAAACCTGTTGATATTTACTACATTCAATTAACACTATTGACTGAGAATAATTGACTTCCACATTTTCATTGTCTGTTTCTCTCTTGCTGTAGAAAAAACAAAGCGTTCCCATCCATACCCGTACGAGCGCTTGGCTTTTGGTGCCTGTGCAGGCTTGATTGGACAATCTGCCTCCTACCCTCTGGACGTGGTGCGTCGGCGCATGCAGACAGCAGGCGTTACAGGCTCATCGTACGTTACTGTTCTGGGGACCATGCGTGAGATTATAACCCGGGAGGGAGTTGTACATGGACTATACAAAGGCCTGAGCATGAACTGGGTTAAAGGGCCCATTGCTGTTGGGATCAGCTTCACTACATTCGACATCACGCACAGCCTTCTGTTCAAACTGCACCAGATGAGCTACTTCACGCACTGAATCATGGGAGTGACAACGGGACAGAAACGCACAGATGAGACTGATGTGAACGTGATGGTGAATATTGTGACATGGCAATGAGAAGTGTTTGCACTCGGTCAGCGCAGGATCCTTACCTGAACCCCCCTGTTCACTCAAAACAGGATATCAGAGAGCTAGGTGAGTTGACAGGATTTTTGTACAAGATAACCCACTATCTCTTGCTTTGTAAATGCACATCCAGTTTTCACTATGTGAGAGAGTGTGGAGACGAAAAATTGAGTCTAAATTGTTGTTCACACATTCATAACTTTTTTTTTTTTTTAATCATGACCCCGTCATGGTGTCTAAAGTGATCACGACAGACTGTTTGTTGATAAGATTATTCTTGCACTTTATTAGACCTGCAATGCTCTTTCAGCTTGATCTTGTATTCACAGAGATAGCTTGTTTTTAACAAATATTATTGCTCTTAATTTTTGGGGGGGGGTTATTTTTGTGGAATCATTGCTTTTGCTCATGCAGGGGTATGGTTGGTACTGAACAGGTGATTTTGCAATTTGTTTGGTTTTTCATTTTCAATTTTGATGATGGTGCCAATGTTGATTGAACTGAAATGGATGGTGTGAATGATTGTCCAGAAAGAGGTGGATCATGTCAGCAGGACTGCACATTGTCATTGTCCATCCAGCACCGAGAAGGTGTCCAACAGTATTAAGATGTCTAATAACTGGAATCTAATGATATATATGGGAAATAAATATAGATATAAATATGTTTGGTTTATATGCATATCGTCAAAATTTCAATTTATTTTTGAAAAATTTCTCAGTGTTGTGCAGAATAAATCATTGCTCTGACTTGACTGTTATACTTGTTTACTTTAAAAATCGAAATAAACCAAAGCACTTATCGCAGTCATACGTTTCATGTGAACAAGGAATCATTATCCTTTCAGAGATCATGTGCATATCTGAGTAACATCATTTCCAAAGATGTACGTTTACAGTTGTATTAAGCACAAATGCAATAAAGTGTCCATCCAACATCTAGCAATGACTCATTTTGTCCACATGGGGGAGCTGCCTAATAAGCAATCTGCCACATTAAAGGCTGGTCTGAAATTAAACATTTGAAATCAAATGAAAAAGGCACAACAAATACTTTCCCTGATTACTTCTCATTTCAGATGAAAAATTAAAGACATTTTTAAAATTGTCCAAAGATGTGGTCTTTATTACATTCACATTAAATCAATGGTGTGTTGATTTTATGTTTTGTTCCCTTAAATTCCCCAAAATCACTGGAAATGTTGATGGGAATTATATAATTTATATAATCCATTATAAATGTATATTAATTAAAATGACGCTATATATTCTGTGTTTATTAGATAAAATACTTTCTGACCTGTTTGAGACCGCCTACAGTACCTCTTCCCTGTCAGTAGATGGCAGCATTAGGTTGCGACCCTTCACAGTGCGCTCTGGACCATCATGGAGGTTAGTTAGGCTCTGATCACCTCATGGCCTGAACTTGACCTGCCCTCTTCTCCCTGAGACATAGATATGAACTTATTTTCCCCCTCTGAGTTTAATTTGTTTCACATAAATGCCACTGTCACGTTTGTGAAATAACTGCTTTTTATTTAAGGATGTTAAAAAAAAAAATCTACAATTTTTTTTAAATATCTGAAACATTTGCACACAAAAACACACAAACATAGGCTTATCATTTCTTAAACACTATTTTTTTAAACTTAAAAATAAAGAATATCCTGTGATGTTTAACTGCGATAATGCAATTTAACCAATGTGTTTTTAAACATTACATATGAAACTTTAAATAATGTTTTGGTCTTGAATAATTCATATTAACTCAAATTAAAAAAAGGAAAAAAGATACCTTGTTACACACTCTTAGAAATGCCCAAAAACTGAAATTAAAGAAAAAAAAAAAACATTAAAAAGAAAATCATATATCTAGAAATCTGTTTTCTTTTTATTTCTACAAATTTATCAAACATTTTAAATTCAACAACTTATTTTTCTTTCTATTGTTGTTTTATCATAAACATGAAGGAAGCCTCACACACACCGTTGATACGCTGTTATTTTATGTGATACGCATTTCTTTGAATGTTACGCAGCTATTTAAAAAATAAATGAACAATTCAAAGATTTATCATAATATCCTGATGACAGTTGTGATTATATGAAAATGAATTTAATATCTGTGTGATTAAAAATGTTGCATACAAAGGTAGTCATCTTCTTTCTGTGTTAATTCGGTTCGTCTTCACAGGTTAGTGTGTGTTAGCAGCGACTTTAGTTGAATGTGTAACTGGATTGTCGCGATGCTGATTGCATCATTCACCACCTTTTCTTCACCAGATGCTGAGTGTCATCTCCTGAACTTCACATCCGAGTAGCTTGATGGAGGATGCCCTTCTTCCATCTGCCCACCCTCCATCCCTCTGTCTCTCATCCTTTTCCCGCCTGTATGACCTTGACTGTGAATTATGGGATATCTTGCCACCCCAGAGTGTGCAGCCACCCAGCCTGGTACTGCAACAATTGAAACAATACCATTGGGTGGATAACATGGTCAGAGGGTGGGTGCCTGGGAGAAGCAGATGAAGAAGAAGGAGGAGGAGGAGGTGGAGGAGGAGGAGGAGGGGTGGGCTTCTTGAAGGCGCAGTTGCCATAGGTAACCTGGATGTGAGCCAGGAGAGGGGAGTGAACCATTTGCATGTATTCAAATCTCGCATGAATAATTCACTTTGAAGCCCCTGCTGGAGCGCTGGCAGACAATAGCTGTTCATGCACACACACAAATTCACAGTAGATGGGCAAAAATGCACACAAACTGAGTCTTCCAGCACAAACATTCTCCGCCTGTTCCTGTGTGAGAAAGGTGAGGAGGTTATACTGGGAGGCATGCAGGAATAAAGCCCCAATGCGAAAAGCATAGCTGCACTTGTAATATTATTTAACCTGCGCCTCTTAACCACATTCCCCTCCATTTAGACGAGGCCCTCTATACCTTCAACACAATAAACGCATAACCAGTCATAGGTGCTGTTTGACTTTGGGCTTTTACTTTGGAGGTCACTCTTTCGGAGGCTACGGGTGGGATGTATAGTAAACATATGCATGTACACACATGTTCACACCCCTGTGGTTCCCTTACTTAAGCCACACTGGCTCAGATCCAGTTGCCGTTTCTTTGAAGGTCAGCTCAGTATTCAGCCCTCAAACACCTGCTGGCCCACAGTATCGTTCATAAATTCACCAGCATTAAAACGCCTTCAGAGACGTTTTATCTAAACTGTCCAGTAAACATTTCACCATAAACTTGCCTGAACAAAAAGCTGAAAAACGAGAGAAATAATACCTAATCACACTGCTGAGACTGTAAAACGACGACTAGCTATTATCCCTCCATGCATGCATGCTGATATTTACAAGAGCTATAGGGGCGTCATCCTCTCCCCGCCACCTGCACCCTCCCTACAGCTCCAACTCCCCATAGCTCAGTCTTGTTAATTTTATAAGATCCAGCATATTGCCACTTATCGGCTGGCAGTGTTGTAAAAGCTCTGGGGTCAGTGCATTACTGAGCTGCTGGGCTCCGCTCTTCCATTAGAGGGAGTGTTCAGGCTGCGTCGGCCTTCACTCAATCAAATACGGGCTGCAAACGGCTGCTCCAAGTGCAGATGAGGGGGCACAAGCACACACACTTCCACACACAAACAAATACAAATGGAGACTCCTTCAATACCTGGTTGTGAAACTATCGTGCACATAAATCTAAGCACATAAATCTGGGCACCAACACACATTCACTCACTCACTCACTCACTCACTCACTCACACAGTGTGTGCTTGTGTTCACTGTTTCGAGCCCCGAGGGGGCTAACACATTCATTTGCATGGAGTGTTTGCATTTAAAGAGAGTAAATGTATAGGTGTATGTGCTTGTACTGCAGCTGACATTTTCACCACTTGGCATTTTGAACAGGTTCAACACTAAATGAGATGTAGCTCCTCTCCATCTCTGGATCGGTTGAAAAGGATGAGAGTTGGAGCATGTAGAAATAAGAATAAGGAGGTGAGATGGATTAAACAGAGATGCCTTATAAGAAAATGAAACACAATGTGTGTTTGTGTGGGGCATGGAAAGCAAAATTAATTTTCAAAATCAGTCTGAGAATGAGGTCAATGTTAAGCCACAGACTGTCAAGGTAGAGTCAAGGTCATGGTAAGTTAAGCGTGCTGATGCCAATATGGCGCATACCTCTCACACCACTGGAATGCTGTTAATATGACAATGTGTTAGGTTTTCTTTTTTGGTAGTTATTCGTTTGTCTGAATTTTGCAGAAATTCAGGGTTTCAACACAAATCCTCGATCTGAAAAACTACAATTTCAGGGACAGGTGGTCATTTATGTTACTTCATATTTGAAATAGAGGATGTTATGTCCACATAAAGCTTCTTGCATATTTCATACCTAAGATATGAGCACTTTTCATGTAATTTAGAGTTAGATAACATATTTTTTTCTGTGATTGTGAGAATATATATTTGATCAGATTATTATAATTCCATTGTTAATCTTCACATATTTTCAAACAGAGACCATGTAAAGGAAGGGGGCACCCAGGCCTCAATGACTCTTTGCACATTTATAAACATGTATGTAATTCTTCTGCCAGAGTAAAGGCAGGGGGGTGGCTTGGTAATGTGGCTTGGTAATGTGGGTGGATGGATGAAGGAGAAGGCCCTGACAGACTTTGCATAAGAATGACCAGGGGTCCTGTGAACCTTCTGCTCCCTGCGTCCACATTCAATGGCATCTCAGCAGTTAGCATGACAAACTAGGCTTCAAGTTCTTGGACTTTTTAAAGTAGTCTGTCCCCCCCCCCCTCCCTTAATTTGATCAATGTCCTGCCACCCACATAACCCCCTCTCGGTGAACCTTTACCCTCAACTTGATCCTCTGGAACTCTGCACTGCGGGCCGAGCCTACAGACTTTATGAGGTGTCTGGGGGCCTACCAAGTTCAGGGTAGGGGAGATGGCCCCTGCATACACACACACACACACACACACACACACACACACACACACATACGCACACACAAACACACACACATCACACACACACACACACACACACACACACACACACACACATTTAAACAACTTACCAAATCACAATAGCTCTGGTTTATTTTTGATTCAGCTTTACATATTTATTTTGCTCACTAAAAGTACATCTGAATTTCACACAATTTATAAGACGCCGGGTTTCATCCAAAATACAGCAGAATGTATGTTTTCTTCCCTTCTCCACACCAACATGAGCCAAAGTAAGCCTGTTATTACATTTGCATGTGAGAACAGTCATTGGGGTCTGAAATTAGAACGCTTACATAAGAATTTAATTTTGTATGTGTGCATGAGAGGATGGCACATCAGTGCGCCACAGCTCAACCCGATGAACTCACCGACTGCGTCTTTAGTCATCACTTCACAATGAAGCAAAAAACAAACACATTCATTTTACATCTTCTAATATTCTGCACATTACATATGTTGTCATATGAGCACTGACATTTTCTGCAGGTTTTAATAGATGGAAATATTTTTATTTAACATGAACATCACAATTACATTGGACAAACCAGATGCATCTTTTGAATGTTTTAGCACACATGCTAACTCTCAACACTTGTTCACAGGAGGCTTTTGAGAGAAAAATGACGGCAATAATACCGAGAATGAGAACAAAAATAGAAAGAGAAATAAGGATAATAATGAGAAAGTGAGAAATGATAAAATGTACACTAATGATAAAAAGACAAAAAGTGAAGTAATAGATTGCCCTGCTCATTACTGGTGTGTGTAAATTACGTCTTCTCATAAATTATTAGGTACAGTTAACATCACGACTATTTGAAGTGAATACGTGTTTTATTGTATGTGATGTTCAATGGACTCTTGTTAATCTGAGTTGAATCCAAACATGTTCTTGCAGTGTTTGTGTGTTTATGAGCAGTCTAGTCAATAGGTGTAAAAACGTTGAATCCTGCCAGCTGTGAATACTCTCTAATACATACTAATGTATCTTTCTGTATTATGATGGCATTCAAATTCTGTTTAATGAGCTCGATTGTGAAAACAAAGCTGTGCTGTATTTTAGAGAACATTACAATAACTTTCAAAAAGGCCCCGACTGACATTTCTAATAACATGCAATTATACTCAACATTAATAGAAAAATATTATTATGAAATCTAGGACTAAAATGTTGAAATGCATGCACATCAAACAAACATAAAAATGAAGGACAATTATAATGGGAATTCAATTTGAGTAAAGACATTGTTTTATTATCTAGTTATCTAATAGACCAATTTGATGCATTTTATGTGATTTTAATTAAACCATTCACTTTGTTTTCCAAAGATTTGTCTCTTCCTTCATTCTGCGTTAATTACTTCAACCTCTTTTCTTCTGTGAGACTCACTGCGCTGGGTTAGTGAGCAAATTCATCTGTTCGGAATGTGTAAAAAAAAAAAGAAACAGGCTTAAAAAAAACAGTGACACCCACATTAAAGCCTAATATTGAGAAGTGTTGCATTTTAGATATTACAGGAGCTACCTGATGTATTTGTGTTCATTCTAAATAGGAAATGTGTTTATAACCACGGCATAACCTGTTATTCAATCATCTTGTAACTTTCAATAGCATACCAAAGAATGAAAAATCGAAACAAAGAAAGAATGGATTACAGCGTTTATTTCCATGTTTTTATTTGGACAGAACATCCTCCTCAGTTATAGTTTCCATGTAATAAAAAAAACATGCTCCTCCCCAGCAGTTGTCTTATTTGTTTTTTGTACTGCTTGTGAGCTTTGTGCAGCTCACTCCTGCTGATAAAGGCCTTTGTTTGTTAACGGACGAGGATGTTAGAGACTCTCCATGAACAAACAAACAGCAGACCAATTAAAAGACAATGACTTGACCCCTGAGGGTTTGTTAAGCTCAACAATGGGCTGTTTTTTTACAACCCAGTAAAGTAGACACAAATCAAATTGTAGTGGAGAGGTTTAAAGAGGCTAGGTCTGTTAATTCATTCCAGATATGTATCTTTAAGTGGAAGTTTGGTTTAAAAATGTTTAAATATTACGTTTTATTATTCACTGTATGACCTGGTTTAACAGGAGGCACTATGGGTAGCCTACATACAGCAAAAAAGTGTGAAAAAAATGAACAGACGAAAGAATATTTTTATGATGGGAAAAAAAGGCTTTTTAAGGGCACAATATAAAAGACAATTGTGAAATATAAATATACAACTTATAGTAGAAAATAAGTAATATATAAGAGAAGTAAGTAATTCTTTCTTTCAACATTAACTACTTAATTTCATGCTCCTTTTCACGATCACGATCAGCAGTGAGCAGGCCTCGTTGTCAGAATTGTACACTGTACACAGAGTGTATGTGACATGATCCGTAACTCCATCTATAGGTGTTATGGTATCATTCCCACCATTAAAGAGGTTTTCCACCTTCCCAATGACCTCCGCCTCGCCTCACAGGACACAGAAAACGACCTGATGGCAATGTCTTTCACTGTACATGTTGCAATGTGTGAGTGTGTGTGTGTGTGTGTGTGTGTGAGTGTGTGTGGGTTTATGTTTGTGTGTGAGCATCTGTGCATGGAGGGTGGGTCACTCGTTGTAAGGACTCCAGTGTCTTTAGAGAGCGTCCAGCCTGCAGGGTTTCGGCCTTCTCCCCGGTGTGAGGGAATCTAGCATGGCCAGTAAGCATGTATATCAGGCCATCTCACGGCTGGCTGGACGCTCCCTGGGTGGCCCACCATGGTCAATACTGCACTGGTGACTGGACACACAGAATGGGATAATCTCCTACTTTCTTTCAGGGCCATAGTGCACACACGCAAACACACACACACACACACACACACACACACACACACACACACACACACACACACACACACAGATCTCCTTTCATGCCGGCCTAGCCATGGAGGCTTGCCTGGCCCTTATTTGGGGTCAGGAGCCCAGTCAGGGGGAGGCCGAGAGAGCCGAGGAACCTCAGAGTGAGTGATTGAGTGATGGGACGGTGTAGGTGGGGGGGGGGGGTAGGGGACGGTGGGGAAGGGGAGCAGGGAGCCCATTTCAGCCAGAGCACTGGAGCACACTGGGGGTACTGGGGCATCGCCTCCACTGGCTGTTGGGGGGAAAACAAAAGGAGGTGTGATCCCCACAAAACATAGGTTCAGTGTGTGTGTGTGTGTGTGTGTGTGTGTCTGTGTGTGTGCTTATGAATGTGTATCATTGTTCAGAGTTTCCTTCAGCTCCAGCAACTCGCTTCAACACCCCTGCTGCTCACACACAAAGGCACCTAATTGACACCACAGATTTAGGCCACTAGCTTTAACTGTTCCCCTTCCAACCCTTCAGCCACTGCTGGAATAATCAGTAACCCAAGTGTATAGGCTGCTATAGCTTCACATACACAGACAATATTTTATGATATGTGTACCTGAAGCATCAATGGCTGTAAGTTTTATATATTTTTGTTATGTTTGACAAGGTCCAAAAAGACTAAACAAACTCATTTGTTAAGGGTCTCTCAATATGGTCTTACTTACGTACCCAATCTGTAGCTCCCTGTGCCTGCATTTTTCTTTAAATCTTTAAAATATAGCCACAAATGTACAGATCTTTTTTTTAAGAAGAAGACTACAATGTGATAAAATAAGTGGGCCCTGTTTAAAGCTTATATCGTTCAAACATTAGAGAACACAGGATATGTTGGGGGCTATTTTCAGCTGCACATAAATCCATGGTCTAATCTCTGTTTATGAAACTAAGACAGTATGTGGGACAGCAGTGCACAGGTTCATTGTAATGAAGGAACATGTCACTCAGTGCATTCTGGTGCTTCATTGCTGGGTTTTACAATAATTAATCTGGGGTGCAATAAGACGGGGATAAGATGCAACGAGCTTAGTACACAGCAGATTTCTCTTAGCCATGGTCATGGTTCCAGTATTTTAATGGGACTTGTTTTTAATACAAAAATGTAAAACATCAACAAAATTGTCCTTTACATTAAAGGTTCAGCTATCAACTCGTAAAAATAGCAAATATTATTAACAGATATAGAAACACGAATGAAATGAAAGAGAGAAAAAAAACAACAAAGACCAATTTTCATTTCACAAATAGTTCGACTTTATTGAAAATATATATCATATCAATGCAACACTTTTGTTCTTGTTCACAGTGTTATGATAAATCACTTTATTATATTAAAAAACACATACAAATATTTGTGGAAAGTACTTCAATATCCAACCAATGTCAAACATTATTCCACTCAAATATTCTAAGATATATTACTGAGTAACAAGAAAGGCCCCCTCGGGGTGTCATCCAATCTCCAAACTAAATTGGTGTTGAATTGAGTCATTTACATCTAATAAAACCAGCTTTGGAAAATATTGATCAGTAGCTGTATTTTACACTTCAGTCAGCTTCTAAATGGATTCAACCTCAAAACTTACCTTTTAAAAAGTTGCTCGTACTTACCTGTTCACATCCACAAAGACCACAGACCAGAGAAACGACAATCCACCTATAATGATGTGCGTCTAACTGTTTGTTCTTGCCTAGGAGTAGATGGGGGCTCCTCCATATGTGGCTGAGACTCAACATGTCCAGAGAAACTGACAACAGACAACATGTGTGCATTGTTGGAGTAACGTACAATGAACTGCTTTTTCTGTCCAAGGTAGCGTTCGTCTGTGAGGCTGCATCTGTAAAGACATAAAGAAAGGGAAAGGAGTGATTAGTGAAGAGAATAATTAAACACTTGGTTTACTTGGAGTTCAGGTGGTATCTAAACGCTTTTAATAGACAGGTGTACATCTATAATCAGTTATTCCTATCTGTGCATAAATCAAATGCGCTCACAGCGTATAGTTAGCTTAGATGACGCTGTTCCTGTCACCATGTCACCAGACTCAGTAGCACACTTGGGGGGTGGGCTGTGTTTTTTCCTGTATGTATGTATGTGTGTGTGCATGTACGTTTGTTTGTGTGTCTATCAGCTGTCTGTATCTATGGTGTGCATGACCCCTGAGCTAGCAGACAGTCATGGGTCAAAGGTCAAGGTAGAGGCTGTCTGGGCTTCCTGGCCGAAACCAACACCTACAGCACAAGCGGCGCGCACATTAACACACAAACACATACACAGAGGGAGGAGGGGTTGCCCCCCTACCAGACTAATATCACCTTTGGGATTAGGATCCAGACAGAAATACATTGACCCCAAACATGCGCACCCCCATGCACACACACACACACACACACTGAGGTCTTAGACGGGATCTGCTTGGTCATAAACAGGACTGTGTAGCAAAGAATGACGCAGAATGAGGCAGCAGAGATGCTGTGTCTGAGAAGGGTATCTAATTATGTTTCAGCACTGAGTTAAAGAGAAGAGCAGAGGAGACTCAGGGGTTCAGATGTCACCATGGTGAGCAGAGGATGTAGCTAACACAGAACTAGCTAACTAAATACATTACAGTGTTTTTGCTGTACGGATTAAGAGGAAAAATGAAAAAAAGTAGGCTGCTTTTATATCAAGAAATTTAAATAAATGAATTTGAACAGGGAATTAAATGACTCTATGACACCAGGTGAAAAAGCAGATAAAAGAAAGCATTGTTGTTGCTGAACCTTTGCTCCCATTGTTATAAGGTGCGCAGTTGAGCGTTGTCATTGCGTTTAACTAAAGCACTGGTGTACTGTAGCTGCAGAAATCAAGAGCCCAGAGCACCAATCTGGATTAAACAACATCAGAATGCCAAGCGCTTGTAAAAAAAATAAATCACAAATCAAAGAGAATCGAGACTGCAGGATCTCAGTACACAGTGAAACAGTTAAAGGTCAAATTCAGAGGAGCTGACGGGCTCCACTGCCAGGCCATCGGGAAAACTCCCCAAATAAGCCAGAGTGTTAAGCCTGCTAATCCCCTGTATTATTGCAACATCTGTGAGGTCTAGAGAGGCTCTGCCAGTGATTAGCAAGACAGATGTAAACAATATCCAGGCTGAAGAGGAGAAGAGAAAAGAAGGGTGGAGAGGGCCTGGTTGATGTATGTAACACTGTGCTGAAAGGATAGGGAGGGTAGCAAGAGAGAGAGAGAGAGTTAGAGAGAGGAGCATATAAAAAAGGCGATGGATGTGAAAAGGGGTTAAAAAAAAAAAGTGCAAATATCTGCGGGTAGGCCAAAGCAGTTTAACTTCAAATAAACTGAAAACGGAGTGATTGAGGAAGAAATTTCAGATGCATAAAGCAAAGCTTTATAAGCACTGTAACGTCTAGCAAAAAATAAGTAGATGCTGGGTAAGCTACAGTAGGTGGGGGGAGGAGGAGGGAGACAGAAGGCGACAGCATGAGGGGGAGAAGGAGCAGCAGATTGGGAGACGGCAGACCCGGGGCCAGGGGTGCCACGACCGGCTGACGAGACACCAGGGAGACTTGCCTAATTTATGCAGAGTTAGGCTGAGGGGCTGCAGTGTGGAGGGTGTCCGGGACCTCTTTTTCAATACCTCCTTAGAATGAAGGGGCGCAGCTATGGGTGCGAGCAGTGTGGGGCAAAGAGGGCTATGGGGGAAGGCAGAGGGGGATGGGGTCTCCAGACAACAAGAGGGGGGAAAGAGTCCGTTCTCCCTGCTCAATTCAGGCGAAGCTGTCCGTCTGACGTCCCATTAAGGTTTGGGACAGGGCATGGGGAACGAGGCGATGAAGGGGGGAGAAGGGAAGGGAGGAGGAGAGGTGAGGTAGAGGCAATGCTTAACTCCCCCTTCTGTTGAGATGCCCCCCCCCCCACTCCAGTGTTCTTCTCCAGTCTGGCTACCTATTAGATCCACATGGCTGTCTGTCTGCTTCTCTGCATACTAATTCCCCATTACAGCAACCTTGAACGTGAGCAAAGAACAGAGCCAGACTAAATCAGAGACAAGTAGCTAGCTGTTTGGTTTGTTGCATGAGGCGCTTAAAGAGTACTTCAGGTACCAGGCAGGCAGGTTCATGGAGTTGTGTGTTGAGGTGTTAGCTTAATATTGGCCTTTGGAGAAATTGGTTAAATGATGAGGGCAGCGGATTTTTTAAGTTTATTTCCCTTTTTTCCCAATTTATTAATATATGAATGAAATAAGTTGAATAGTGCATCAACAACAAAAATCATCAGAGATGGCAGCTTGATTACAGATAGTGGTTATGTTACATTATGAAAAAACATGTACCTAAACAATTTGTTTTGGTGGACTCAGATAGGTAATAGCTTTAATGTAACAGATTCTGTATTGATGTTAGCATTCAAATTTTTGCATCTGTTTTGTGTTGACTAACAGGAAACATACGGTATGCTTTGTGTATGTGAATCCTGGCTGATAGCCAAGTGAATCAGTGTGTGTGTGTGTGTGTGTGTGTGTGTGTGTGTGTGTGTGTATTTGTGTGTGTTGTTCGAGGGCCCAGCGAGAAGCAGAACAGACAGCCGGGCAGGGTGATGGTTGAGTCTGGTGATGCAGGCAGACAGTTTAATGACAGTCCTCACCCCTGAACATACAAGCCAGTGAGCGGCCGCCATACTCTCAGATGTACACACACACCGTATGACACGCACACATATATGTGTGATATATGGTGTGGCGTTTTCTGAAAAAGACACTGAAAATGAAAGAAAAAGAAATCTCTCTGTGTATGACCCTGGAAAAAATATCTGGAGGGGGTAGAAATGACTAACAGGAGCCTGTTTTGACCGTCGCTTTTTTTCTGTTGAAAATAAACAGGAGTTTTGAGTTTGTCCTTCAGCAATTTACACCTTTCACTCCACATTTTAAAAACACGATTTTACACGGATGTAACAGCACCAAACACTGCTCAAACTGTCTAAAGACATAAGAAATGACACCTCTAAATCCATTCTGCTTGTTACTTTTAATCTTCTAGTGAGGAACGCTGCAATGTATACGAGCTATTCACCGGCTCGGCTGAAGCCAAGCTCTTTGTGTGTTTTTTTGTGTCTGACCATGGCCTTGCATCTTATTCAGCTGGACTTGCACAGGTCTGGACTTGAATCTGGTGCCCAAACAAAGACATGGAGCCACCTCATTAAAAAAACATGTCATTGGATCAGGTCTTGGCTGAATTGTGTGATTTTCCTCCTACCATAAGTGGCCGTGACTGAGCGTTGGGTTGAATCAGAGGCTGGATAGAGGCCTACCAATGGAGCGCCACACTACATCCCTATGGGAACCACCCCTTCACCGAGGGGGGCACATTTAAAGCTTTGTTACTCTGTTAACACAGCATTTTAAAACGCCTCTTTATGGACTCAGCTATGCAAACTGCAGACCCTGGTTTTCCTGCACCAGAAGGACAAAGTAAAAAAAGAAAAAGAAAGAAAGACAGAAAGGGGACAGTGAAAGGCAACAGAAAAAAAAGGGAGAAAAGGAAGTCTGGAGAGGTATTATTTTAATGGGATATTAAATCTTGAAAGTAATGATAGCAAGAACTGAAAAATTCAAGAGAGATATTATATTTATATATCATTCCCACAATCTGATTTTATTAATCCAGACGCACCCCAAAAAACCTTGCCAAAGAAATGAATGCTTTGCAGTAGGCTCTGTAGCTACATCTGCTCTCACTGCATCTAATCACCAGAGAACTGAACTTTGTAGTTGGAAACAGCAGAACCAGGTCAGTGACAAACTGCAACGTCTCACAGTGTCCTCTGATATAGTCAGCATACACGTTTACCCAGAGGACTACAGACATCCTGCGGCTGGAACAATAGGTTTGTGTGGTAGTGTGTGTGTGTGTGTGTGTGTGTGTGTATGAACGCGAAAAACAGAGTCGTACTTTAGAAACCTGGGCCGGAGACTTAGGCAGTCTCTCAGGGTGCCCAGGATGACAGTGAAATGAATAACAATGAACTTGCTGAGAGTCAAGTTCAGAACATTAGAGATGAACCAGAGCTGAATAGCGCGAGGTACACAAAAGAACTGTGTGCGTGTGTGTGTGTGTGTGTGTGTGTGTGTGTGTGTATGTGTGTGTGCATAATTGTGTCATCGTTCTTAGGAAATATCTCAATATAAGCAGAGCGCAGAGCTCCAGAGAAGAGCACCCACTAAGAGGAAAATGGGCACACACACACCTCCTCTTCTTCCTCTCTTACTCCCCTCCCCTTCCCATCTCCCCTTGCACATGCAGCCAGGACCCCGTCCTCGCATTTCTATCGCTGTCTGCTGCGCGCCTGATGAAAAAGCAGAACGAGCATAGGGGGTGCACATGCCTAAAGGCAAGAAATCGCACATTTGTAAATCACAGCCCCAAAATAAACATAGGTTTTAATAGGGGTTTCTGAGCCAAGGTGGCAGGGGTCCACCTCGCCGTATGCTTCACCAGCCGTGTTGCATGTTTTTTTTTTTTTCTTCTGCCTGCTAGCCTGCTACAGGAGATGTGACTGAGCAGCCGCCACCACCACCACCCAGCAGAGAGGGTGGTGCATGGGGCTGAGAATGCATCTGAAGACATTTACATAAAGATGGCGCTATGACAGAGGCAATGCTGAAAATGCACCGGCTCGTTATCTACCCTGAAAAATCTGAATACTGATTGAAATGTTATGGGAGGGGGATAAAAAGGCATTTATATATAAAAAGCATCCTGAAAGAGCTTTTTTAGGCTCTCGTTATGTAAATGACATCAGCTATGCGTATGAACTAGAGACACTTGCAGGGTG